GTGGTTTGTGTCTGTTTTTGTATGATACTTTTCGTATGCTACTGATGGTGATGGTTTGTGTCTGTTTTTATATGATACTTTTCGTATGCTACTGATGGTGGTGGTTTATGTCTGTTTTTATATGATACTTTTCGTATGCTACTGATGGTGGTGGTTTATGTCTGTTTTTATATGATACTTTTCATATGTTATTTATATAAGTGGTGTTCTGGATCTTGTTTCTTTAAAGACTGGGTAGATGCTACTGACGGTGATATACAAAACTTATTTAACGTATTGTACTGGTTATTCTAATTCATATCTAGTTTCATGTGATATTGTGTAGGTAATATTCATTGTTATACAGATTACATGAGCATAAATGTAGCACCTCGAGAATATTACTGTTAATTGGATGACCCCTTTGCAGGTACTTTTGATGGTAGCGCAATATGTTTGGATGTTTTACCTGATCTCCCGCCGTATGAATAAGTCCCAGCCTGGAACTCTGAAATCCAATAGGTACAAAGATGACACAGTAGTGGCGCTGCGGTGCTTCTTCATTGTGTTGACTGACTGTCTTTGTTGGATACCAATTGTTATAATCAAGATTGTGGCATTGTGTGAAGTACCAATATCAGGTAAGCAGGGTACTTTATTTCTTACAGATTTGCCGACTTGGCGTTTATAACTGCTTAATTTTAAGTAAAACAGAAAATATACGTGATGAAAAATTAATGATATTTTTCTTTCGTGTAGAGAAGCATTAATTCTGGATTTCTTTTACTTGTCTACTTCTATCACTAATGGTTAAGTGAATCCAGTTCGTGAATGTTTTAGCAAAAAACAAAACTTACTTTTTATCTCTCAATATTCTTTAATGTTCGTAAAAATAGGAAAATAACTCACGATGTAACACAACAAAGATGGCCGAATAATTTGAGAAAATGTTTAATAGTACTTTCTTGTTTTAGTAATTTGTCAAAACACCAATGACTTGCTCTTAGTAACAGGGGAATTTTTTCTATGTAGAGAATCTGTTTGCTTGGGTTGTGGTGTTCATTGTTCCTGTAAACAGCGCCCTCAACCCTGTGATATACACGTTTGGCTATCGAGCTCGAGAGATGAAAAGACTGACTCAAGGGGTTTTACTGTGGTGTCGAAAACCCGTGGAACAGGTGTTAGGACCAGGTAAGGCCTCTTTTACAAATAACTGTTTGTTTATTTCTTATTTTGTTTGTGGCAAAACTACTAAGACTATCTGTCGCCGTCTCTAATAATTCAACTGCCGACCAGAGGAAAGGCAACCGGCCGGCAGCAACCACCGCCAACTCTTGGTCTACATTTTTACCAACGAATAGCGGGACTGGCTGAAAGGGTGAACATCCTCAAAGCCATGTTTCGATCCTGCAACCGACAAGTGGTGAGCCGAGCGCCCTAACCACCAGGCCCCTTAACGAATACATCGGTTTAGGGAGCAGATAATAGTTTTCCTTTAGAACCGGGAAAAGATACCCTTTCCTTTACAAAATTAAATTTGAGAAAGAAATATTAGTATTGCCATTTTAATGGTGTATCTGTGGTTTGGGAAACAGGTACGTACCATTTTTTTTATTTTTTAATGGGGCACGTGTGAGTCTAGTTCAACTGAATGAACTTGTAAAATGATCAATCTTTTTTGGTAGTTCATAAAAATCACGCCTCATTCAGAGGAGGCCTGGTATTGGCCAGGTGGTTAGGGTGCTCGACTCGCAATCTGCTCGCTCTTTCAACCCTGGGGGCA